GACTCAAAAGCATTTACCGTAATTGCACTGAGCTCTATCACGAATATATGCCAACTGTGAAGTACGCAGCTAGTTAATATGTCAGAATCAACTGTCAAACAGCAACACAATTTAACCTTTAAATAAAACACATTCTTATTCCAGTAGCTAAGCAGAATAGACGTATTTCATTACATTCTCTTACATCGAATACACCACAGTAGATACCGTCTTGGCCGCAATCAATGGTGAAATCGCCACATGGCGAGGCACGCCCGATGGAATGGTGCGTGTTGCCGAAGGGCATGCTCAGGATGCTCGTCGTCATGCTGCCGACGCTGAATATGCTGCACAACAAGCGCAACAGGTAGCCCCACCACCGAACCCAGTGAATCCACCGGCTCCAGTGCCACAGCCCGGAATACTTCCGGCCAATATGACACCAGTTCAATTGGCACGGCAACTTGCTCTGTGACCCAATGCACAGATGGAAGAGCTGCGCATGTTGTTGTTCCGGCCAGCATTTTGTCTCGATCGTAGCCTATTCTACATCGCCCAAAAGGAAATCCATCGAGGCGAGATGATCGGCATCATTTATGGCAAAATTGTGACCCAAGCTTATAAACAAGCTGCAATTACGGCAACGCCACGTGGTATTCAACGAACAAATCGGATGGAGTATTTCTACGCGTTTGATGCTCCACCGTAACTCGTAGCTCTAGGCAGCAACATTTGCTACTTCGACGGTTACGCGGTGGGTATTCAGCTGTTGAATTACCTGATTCAGTCGAACACCCTGGTGGCCAACGCAGAAGTGGATATGGACCATTGCAACCGCTTCCCAAACGACCCGGACCGCACGCACCAGATAATAATCCGCGCGGTGCAAGATATCACCTTGGGCGAGCACGTCGTCATTCCTCCAGGCGCGTTCAAGAGCCCAGTAATTAGCATGGGCGTCTCCCTCCACCTGTTTTATAGGTGATGTAGTTGTTAAGTTTATATTTTTCTAATATTTCATAAATAAAACGAAACCCAATAGGCGATTCGGAAAAGTTTAAATGATCTTAGTTTAATTCGAACTCAGCAAACAGCATATTAAAAAATTATATTAATAATAATATAATATTATCATGTTAGTAATAACAATTTTCAGTTTTTTCATTTATTGTCTTTGTCCTTGTCATTGTCATTTGTCGTAATTAACGTCGTTTCTAGGATATTTTAACACATTTTCCAAGATGAGGGAAAATTTATGTTATATGTCGTTGTGATTTGCTTTGGTCAGTTTGCACTATTTATCTATTTATTTATTTATTAATTTATTACGGAGCCTACATTTATGCCAATATGTGTTCCCAGCAAGCTGAGAACATGCTAGCCAGAGACCCAATACGGCATAAATTCCGCCCATGGTGCGTCTTTTGCAAAGAGAATATAGTCAGGGGTGGGATGATATAAAAGTGAGGCTTTCATACCAGAATTGGGTCCGGAAAACCATGGTAAAACCGGCCTGATTCTGGAAAACCAGGGGAAATACAATGATGATGAGTTTTTGCAATTAAATTACGTTAACATCAATGAGAAAAATCAAATGAAAAGTCACACTTAATCTAAATTGGATAAGAAATTTCATAACAATGGTCCGAGTATTTTACTATTTGAAAAATATCTAAAAATTTACTGCGTGGAACGTAACAGATGCTTTAGGTTATTTTTAAACGCGACTAGAGATTTAGAATTTCTAATTTCGACCGATATACTATTCCAAAAATTGATTGCAGAGAAACTAAATGCGCGAGTATCTGGATAACGCGACGATTCACCATTACGAACAAACATGCGATTCAGATACTCAGGCGAACAATTTGACAACTGCTTGAATATCAAGACTGCTGATTGCAGTTTTGCTCTGCTCTCAGGAGTCAATCCACTCAAACGCTCACGATATTCAGTAACATGATCATTACGTTTGAATCCGTAAATGTAACGAATCTTGTCGTTATCAGCAACAAGATCACGGTGCACCTGGTTTTGGGTGCTGTGGGCGCCCCAGCCGTATGTTACCACATTTCCATAATCCATTATGGGATCTATCAGAGCTACAGCCATATCACGTTTGACGTAATTGGGTATAAATCGCTTAGTGTGACGAATGCGATTCAACACGCCATACACTTTTTGTAATTTACACTTGTCATGTTCTTGAAAAGTGAAGTTTTCGTCAAAAATAACACCAAGGTTCTTTATTGACTTACAGAAATCGATTTTTTCATCACCTAATTTCACTTCATTGATCATATCAAAATTCAACCGACTCGTTTGATGCTTTGATCCAATGATCATTACTTTTGACTTTAAACTATTTATAATCATACCGCGACGTAAAAGAAAATAATTTAACTTGGCAAGGTCAGAGTTTATTTTATCAATACCGTCGTTAATTTTATCAAAATCTACTTCGATATGTGCTTGACAATCATCCGCGAACAAATGGCCGTTCATATTTTCAAACACATTGAGAGTATCATTGAAGTAAAGGGAGAAGAAAGTTTGGCCGAAATTACTACCTTGCAACACTCCATTATT